GCATGTTGCAAACTCGGAGCCATCTGCCTTTGCCCTTCTACCTTCCTGACCGCAATTAAATCAAAACAAAATCGCTCCGAAATATTCATTAATAGATATTTTACAAGACACAATAAACAGCTTTACAAAGTATATAGTACATACAGTATTTATGACACATAGAAGATTCTAGAGTATCTGTCACTGCTTCCCTTGAAAGGCTGCAACACGGATGTGTAAGGCCAAAATCCCCCTCATAACAGCGCTCGTTCGATGCTTGTTGAGGTGAATCGATAAGATTCCGTTTCCGCTACTTACAAAGGCAATTTAGCACCCCAAAATATAATGAGCTGGGTTTGCGTGTGTATGTGTATGTGCGTGAACGTGCGTGGCCTGCGGACGTCTGAGGTAAACCCGCAAACTTTAGAGGCGACATTTGGTGAGCAAAAATACGCGAAAAAAAAACAAGTAAAATGATAGTACTACGATAATAACAACTAACTGCAACGGAAAATGAACTCGTAGCAGAACAAATACAGTTGAGATATTTTTCCCAATCAAATTGTGATTTTTAATACTCTAAATAGTTATTTCTTCCACATTCAAGTATTCTTTGTGGATAGCACTCAGAGGATCTCTCATCCTCTAAATTGCTTTTGTAGGCTCTTGGTGCTACTATAATCGTTTTCAGTGAAATTGGTGATAAATTTCGGCTGGAAACATGGCCGCAGGGTGATGAGGTGGAGGATAGGGAGGAGGAGGACCGTAGGACGGAGGACGAATCAGCGCTGCGCTGGAGGGAAACTGTAGCTGCATCTGAAATCGAACACCAAATTAGTTGTAACTTAATTTTGTTACAATTATGCTTGTTAAGCTATAGTAAATGGAATAATGTTGTGCAAATAACCTCATTAATGTCGGGCTTGAGATTTGAAAAGGGATCTCCTGGCGTCCCTGTACTTGCATGCCCTGAATCGCTACTTTCATCTAATTCCGGTGTAAGACAGTTCTTCTCATGAGCCTGAAAAAAACCTAGTTATATTTCACAAATGTAACCGCGCCCTTGTCTCTTCTCCGTTTTTTATGTGATGTTCACAAATGCGACTGCTATTCACTGTTTTGCATTATAATGCAATACAGGGAAACCCGATTTAGGACGTTGAACGCGTTTAAAGCGAGATTTATTTCTTATAGTATAGGTAAGAGTTGATAAGTCCGGGATTAAAAGATGTCTGAGGTCAGTGTCTCAGCAATCGGAGCTGGTTATCTGAATGCGCGCGAAATAGGCGCTAAGCCGGCCAAATGCCAATAACATGTCATGGCTGAGCGGATTTTGATGATCTGACTGAGGTAGCCTCAAAACTGTAGGTTTTGGGAGCAACAATTGGGAATTACTGTAGGAATGCTTACCTTCATGTGCTTCCTTAATGAACTTGGATGGCTGTAGACTTTTTTGCAACCTTTCATCTGAAACAATGATGATTGATGGAGAACTCTCATTCCTTGAGAAAAGATGTTTACCTTGCATTCGTAAGGTTTTTCCGAGGTATGAACATGCATGTGTTTCTTTCGATCAGACGAATTTGCAAACGTCTTATCACAACCGGCATGAGGACAAGGGAATGGCTTCTCTTCTGAATAAGTGTATCTGATTTTCAGCCAAAAAGAGCCCATTGGCACACGTGTTGCAACACCTCGCACTAAGCTATTGGCAATCTCTCGCATTTTCGTCCCACTAACGCCTAAGTGCCAAAAGGCCCACTTTTGTCGCCTCATCGAGATGAACACAATTACACAATCGCTGCATGGAGTATTGCCAGAGGTGATCTTTTGTGCAGCAAATGTTCTTTAAGGTTATCAGAGTACAGCATCTGGCCATCTTTTAGAATTTTCTGATACGATTCCATCAACAAGTCATTAGCATAGCACTGAGGTCGTTGAAAAATGGTCGCGAAATCTGGATCAAACGCTGGCGCAGATGGTATGAATCGCTCAAAGATTTGAATGAGAGAGACGAAGGGATAGGACTTGTCTTCTTGTGGTAATTTTGACTGCGATGTTGTATTTTAATAAGCAAGGATTCTGCAACTGAAAAAGTGAAATTTTATTCGAAAAATTTTACAAATAAAGCTAAAGGAGACACAGATGGTCAATATAGGATTTTTGCAATGCTATGATGTTCTGACAAAAACAAATCGTGCTCATAATTGACATGCAATTCGGCAATAGCGCTAATTATCACACCTTTAGCAGGTGTGCACGAATCTGTACGGAGAGTGTCAAATGAGGTACGCTTGAGCTAGAGCGAACCACAGATATTGCATTAGATATTGCGCGATCTGATTAAGACCTCAACATCGTCATAAGGTCGATTTTTTGGATTTTTGACTAGATGCGATAATTGAAAAGGTTTACGAAAATTTAGGACTGATTGAGAGGAACAAACATAACCACGATCCTACCGTAATGTCATAAATCGTGCATGCGTTTCACCTTTTCTATAGAGCGGCTGGGGCATAGATGGGCGAAATTTGCTTAACAATAGGAGACCATAAATAACGCGATGGATGGTGAATAAAATCAGAAGAGATGTGTGCAAATTCGGTATGGATTTTTTTGTATATCAACTCAAGTAAATCTTTCAGATATCAAAGAGCAACAAATATACTTTTGACTTCGTTAGAAAAAGTGGGAAGCAGTCAACAGTTGCTGAGAAACTGAACTCACTTGTGTGCGTCCGCACATGAATTTTCAAATTTTCACTTCGAGCAAACTCCCGATTACATTGCTCGCAACGAAACGGTTTCTCACCAGTGTGAACCCGAATATGGTTGACCAACTTATATTTAGCCTAAAGTAGCCGAATATATATTTTAAGAGGGATTCAACTGAAAGCAACACTCACTTTGAAAGGTTTTCCGACTCGATCGCAATTTCTCCACAAACAGATATGTGTGGCCGATTCAATGAGGCCAATATGATGCTGTGAGACGTGAGCTGCCACCTGCGATGAGGTTGCAAACATCATCCCACATTCTTTACCCGTCTAAAATAGAAATTCAAGGACAGATAGATTTTTTTGGGAATGTAAAGAGTTAGTTACCTCATTAATCCATTCGCAACGAATAACAGTAGCTGTGGATTTTTGCGGAAATTGAAAATGAAGAGGAGCTGGCCTAGAAAGGATAACATTAACAGGTTTTCGAAAATGTGTCAATATGAATATAGGCTTACCTATAAGCGGTAAAGTAGTCTGATTGCGTATTCTGATGAGGAAAAAATGGAGGGCGAGATCCGAAACTAGCACTTTCCAAGTAGAAATCAGGAATAGTTCCACATGAATATGGCGGCAATGGTTGATCTCAAACAAAACAGGAACAATATGATTTAATTTCAATAGCACTGTGTCACAACAAAAGCGTATAGAATTGAACAAAATGTGATGAAAAAAAAA